TTTTCTCAGCCTGTTCCAAAATTTCTCCATGCCTGCAGTATTAGCTACTTCCCATGAGGAAGCCAACTCTACTTTCTGCCCCTTACACAGAGCCACTCTGTCCCAAACAAGCTCAAGATTTTCAATTTGTGTCAGATTAAGAAAAGGGCAAGATAATTTCAATTTATGTCATGTTTCCTGATGCCTTCTTTTAAGCAAAACAAAGGCTGTATCTTTTAGTGCTCTCACTAGAAGAAATGAGTGCTGTGTTGCTGTGTTTATCAGCAGCAATTACACAAAGGCTGAGGGCTCCTAAAAATTCAGTACTCCATGGGCTAGGTGCCTAAAAGTTGGCTGAGGACTCTGAATTTTTGAAGGGGATGCATACCAGTATTTGCTAAAATTCAAGAGATTTAAGTCTAGGATGATTAGTATGATTACTAAAAAGCATTATCATGAGGCCAGGACACTACAAATAGATATGTTTTTAAAAAGCCTTCCCAAGGAAAAAAAGGGTTATATAAATTCCAGTTAAAACTTCCTACAACTTCAAAGTTTCTGTGCTGCCACATCCCACTCATGAAGTGGCTACACATTAGTAGTAAATGAAGTCTATAAAATGATTTGAGAGTCTCTGGCAGGAAAATAACCATATAAATGTAGATCATCTAGAAGTACCCGCTGGTGCTGCAAAAAAAATGAGGACTGTGCTCTATTACATGCAGTGACTGCAAAATAAAATTTTATTATGTTTATTAAAATGATAAAATACATCTATATAAAAACTGTGTAATCCAAACACAAACAGGACATTTCAAAAGTACATACCCATATCACTTTGTGCTAGGATACCAGTTAGGCAAACCCTGCTTGATATCTTTTAGAGTGTGAAAATTATATTAGAAATAAAATTGTGTGGAAGAAACACTGCTGGAAGATACAGAAGGGAGATGACAGAACATAAAACAAGAGGCCAAATCAGGCAGTGGCTGGGTTTTTGTGTGTATGGCCAGAGCCAGGCTGGCGTGAAATATCTGAGATAAACACCTGAGGAACCTTGCTTGGGGCGTGTGGCAGTCTGCCCCCACTGTCCCCAAAATCCAGGGGTGATGTGTGACCCACGCATGGGAAAAGTGGGACCAGCACCCCTGGGTGAAGTGTGACCACCGCTCCAGGGTATCCCCAGCATCCAGAGCTGATGTGTGACCACTCATGGGAGAAGTGTCCCCAGCACCCAGGGTAATGCATGACCACTGCTCCAGAATGAAGCGTCCCCAGCACCCAGGGCTGATATGTGGCCACCCACGGGAGAAATGTCCCCAGCACCCAGGGTGAAGTGTGACCACCACTCAGAGCGAAGTGTCCCCAGCACCCTGGGTGATGTGTGACCACCGCTCCAGGGTGATGCGTCCCCAGCATCCAGGGGATGTGTGACCACCCACGGAAGTGTCCCCAGCACCCAGGGTGAAGTGTGACCACCGCTCCAGGGTGAAGTGTCCCCAGCACCCATTGAGAAGTGTGACCACCGCTCCATGCTGTGTCCCCAGCACCCACTGAGAAGTGTGACCACCGCTCCATGCTGAAGTGTCCCCAGAACCCACTGAGAAGTGTGACCACCGCTCCATGCTGAAGTGTCCCCAGCACCCCCGCTTCGGCCGCCAGCAGTTGCTGTCGCTCCGGCGCCACAGCCCCGCTGCCCGGCGCTGCCGGGGCAGAGCCGAGGGCAGGCTCCGAGGCGGAGCTCACCCCCGCCCGGCGGAAGGGCGCCTGAGTCACGGTTTCGATCACCGGCAGGGCCCGGAAAGTCCCGGCCGCGCTCCCCGGCGAGCGGGGCCCGGCCCTGGCCGTACCCGGTGTCCGCACCCACCTTGCGCCCGAGCAGCCGAGACTGGCGCTGCTTCTCGGCCGCGCTGAGCGCCCGCAGGCGCTGCCGCAGCTCCGCCCGCAGCTGCTGCTTGGCCGCCCTCAGCGCCGCCGCCATCGCGCCGCCGTCCCCGGCCGGCTCCATGCGCCAGTGCGCCGGGCGGGCCCCGGCGGGGCCGGGCAGGGCCGCGGGGGCGGCCCGGGACCGCCCGCTCCGAGCCCGGGTGGCACCGGCCCCATAGTGCGGCAGGGCCCTTGCCAACACCAGCGTGGTGGGGGTGTTTAGTTTTCGTTTTGGGGTTTTTTTTCCTCCCCTGGCGCAGATCGCAATGAATTCCCCCTTCTGTAATTTCGCTGCAGGAACGGAAAGTCCGTTTCGGCGGGATGCTGTATCCCTCGTGTGTGCCAGTTTCAGATCCCTGTGGCGGCCGGCTGTGGCTGTGCGCTCTGCTGGGGCATGCTGTGACGGATGGCCCCGTGGTGGTCAGCGGTGTCCAGCCCATAGCTGTGCCCACAGGGAAGATGTGCCGGCCCAAGGGACGCCTCTGAGTCCGACACACCTTTAACTGCCCGGGCAGGTGGTGGAGTCACCATCCCTGGAAGTGTTCAAGAAATGGCTGGATGTGGCACTTAGTGCCGTGGTCCAGTTGACAAGGTGGTGAGCAGTGAAAGATCAGACTCGATGTCAGAGGTTTTTTCCAACGTAACTGATTCTGTGTTTTTAAGCACAGAAAGAGATGTTTCTATAGGAGAACAGCTGTTTTCATAAATCTCCTCCGTGTGGCTTTTGATGACATCTCAGTTCAGCTGCTGTGTGCAGGGATGAAGTCATCAGCTGTCCCACTGGGCAGCTCTTTGGCCTCACCTTGTGCTCTAGAAGCACCACACTGTTCTCCCCTGGCAGATCCAAGGATCCCTTAAACAGCAGTGCTTAAGACCTGGGCACTGCTCAGTGTCATGGATGGATAATTTCATGACACTTACATGGACACTATTTTATAAAACTTAGCTAATAGCCCTGCTGTTTTCAGACACTTTACTATGCTTAGAATTGGGGTGGTACATCTCATCACTGCTTTTCTTGCTCTGCACTGAAAAAAAGAGGTTTTCTCCCAGTGAAGTTAACCTGGAACCCACTGGACCATTAATGATCCATCCAGTCTTCTTTTGTTTAAACTCTACCCTTACCACGAGGACAAGTTCTAAAATTATTGTATCACCAACATTTTGAAAAGACACAGTTACCCTTTATATTTAACTTAAAAATTGTTTCTCTGAGTATGAAATAGGTTACTAGATCAGTGTAAAGGAAGTGGATGTGGTATTAATAGATTGGTGTTAGCCACTATTGTATGTGGCTTGCAGCAGCGCTCAAAAAGGAACTGAGTAAGAATTACTGTTCTTACCATGAAGACTTAGACTGCCTATAAAGACATGTGTCATTACATGTTCCAAAATGTCATTTCTGACATAGGTGTTCCGGAGGTGTGCTGCCATAGGTGTTCTGGAGGTGAGCATTTTCCTCTTGCTGCCCCTTGCCCTTTGAACACTGCCACCTTTTCTTCAACAGCAACAAAGTTTACCTTACAAATCCTGCCTGCATGCTAAACAATATTTCTTGTTTTCACTGGGGAAGGAGAGAGAGAAATGCACGTTCTAACAAACATTAACATTTGTTTGTGTTCTATGGTTAAACCCACCAAGTTAGACCATGGAATCACAGAACAACCCAGGCTGGAAGGGACATTGAAAGTTTGTGTGGTCCAACCTTTCCTGGGAAAGGAAGCCTAGATGAAATTATTTAGTGCCTGATTAGTTGTACCCTGAAAACTGCCAGGGAGAGGGGCTCTACCACATCCCTGGGCAGGTTCTTCCAGAAAACAATTGTTCTTACTGCAAAAAAGAGTCTTATGTTGAGCTGAAAGATGGAGAGCCCATTACAGAAGAGGCTGGTTCGTTCTCTCAGTGTCACAAAGCTGGGTTTTCTAGAGGATCTGTCTCAGAACAGTGGTGTGTGCCACAGGCGGCTGCTGGCTCAGTTTGGTTCACCTCCCAACATGTATAAAAAAAAGAAGAAGGGTTTTTAGACCCAGCCTAAGTTCCCTAACGGAAAATCACTACAGCTGAAGAAAACCCTTCTAGAATGAATTCTTGAACAACTACTGTTTAGCCTTGGAAAGCACATGGAATTTGAGTAAAAACATGAATTGCCCCAGACTGTAAAAGCCTGGAAGTTCTATGAATTTGCTGAGTTTTATGATGTATTCCAAAACACTGATTACTGTCATCAGAGCTGATCCAGTTCGTTTATTTTGCCACAAGATATCTGTTTCTTATGCAAGCTACCAGATAGTACCTAAAAAGTACTACAGAAAATGAAAGTCTTGACGTCCATGGACCTCAGGTCAAATCCATAAACCACTTGGATTCTCCAGCAGCATTTTGATAACTCTTCTAAGATTATCTTAATCAGACAGATCTTTTCCCATGCTCCAATTTTTCTGGAAAAAAATGAGACCAATCTCAAGGCTTTAAAATACATATTTTAATGTATTTTCTTAAAATATTAGTGTATTTACACAAATTCCTCATGTAAGAAATATTTTTACTTGCCTATTTTTAAACATCTAGTTTAAAAAATGTTCAGCCAGATGACTACATCACACAAATATGAAAGAACATTCACTGTAGATGTGAGCTATTAAAAAAATACAGCACAGAAACACATACCATTGCTATAACAGTAAGTGAGTGCACATATTTAAGTTGCTAGCTTCCACAAACAGTTCTTCCCATAGAAATTGCTTAGTCTGTGTCAGTAACTCTTCTACCCACTTCTATATTGGAGTTCCCATTTCTTTCTTCTTCACAAAAATCCCCCCTCCCCCCCTTTTCTCATTCAGAGGTTGCAATAAAATGCATTACAGTAGTATTTCATTTACAAAACAAATGACATAAAAACTTGTTTCTTAACCCATTGGATTGTATTTCACTAAAACAAAGTCCTTTCATGGAGATGCAAGAGAGATTCCAAGAGCTTTCTGGATGTGGAAAGTGATCTCAAAGCAATCCTGCCTGGAAAGATGGACTTGAATTGCTGCAAGATGTTGTGCAGATTCCCCTTTGGAAGGATCTCATCTTCAGATTTGGTAATTGGGACAGCATGTTAAACATTGTAGTTAGTCAAAATAAATACAAATAAATTAAAAACAAATTATGGAAGGAAATTATTCTCTTGTTGATATTGCTTGGAGGAAGGCTGAGAAGTGAAGTTTGTGGCAATATCTAGATTACAATGAACGGCAGATCCTTTTACTTCAGTAGTATTCTCTGAACAAGGAAATGACAGCTATGAACAGGGCTGTGATTTTGGAGAAGGACAGTAGCGATCTTCTTTCAAACTTCATTAGGAAGCCATTTTCCTGTGGAAAAAAACCACACACAATTAGGGACAGCTTAAAAACAGCATGTAGGGAAACCACACCACTCCCTGTGTCAGCACTGTGCAGTGAGGGACAGCTTTTCAGAGCTCTGCCTCCTAAAGATGAATAGCTTTTTAAAAGTAGTCACTTAAAATAGCTGCACTTTGCTGAATGTTTGTTTCATCTCCAAGTCAAGGCTATGCCCTCCCTGTGTAAATAGAAAATAAACATGAACTCTATCAGCTGGGCCCACATCTTCCAGGAAGGTACAAGTGCTATGTTTCTGTTGTAGTAATACACCCAGAAATATCTTCCTTTAAGCTTCCTTATTCCACTATGATGAGCCTCCTATTATGACAGAATGTTGCCAGGAGTTGATACTTCTCTGAAATGAAATTGACTGTATTTGAAAGAGATGGAAAGATAAGCCTTTATAATAAATCCAGTGCATCAAGGGGCCAAGAGTCACTATCACCTTTTTCTTTTTTGCTGCTACAGACAGAGAAGGATTAAAACAAGCAGAAAGAAAAAAAAAAAAAAAGGAAAAGCAAGACACTAGAAAATAAATCAGGGGGAAAAAGTAGTAGGAAATATGAGAGAAGTGGGATGAGAGGGGGTGAGGGGGTGGAAGGAAAAAGTAACATTTACATATAAGTAAAGGAAAAAGTACCAAGGAAATTACTGACACTGGTGTCATTGATTCTCAGATTTCCCCCTACTGCAAAAAAAAAAGTATGGGTGTGAAGAAATTTTGCAGAGCAAAAGGATATTTCCCTTCCCTTCACTGGCATGGGAATTTCAGCAGCTTGGCAAAACAGTTCACTTAGTAACAAGTATTTTTCTCAGCATTGACCATTCACAGATGGAAGTTCTAGGATAATCTCAGTCCAAACAGAAAAGATTTAATGCCAGTTGTACTTACCAGTACATTTGTTGTAAGTAAAACTGATTTGGGGGATTAAATAATGGCTTTGTTGAAATCCACAGCAAAAGTGCTGACTTCATTTGTGAGGATCACACCTGTGTATTCTTCCCTTACCTTGAACTTAAGTATTTTTGTACCAGCTTCTCTATGAAAGCAAAATTGCTGCGCTGACCTTAGGATGTCACTTAATTTTAGATTTAATAATGGAAATTTCAGGGTATGTGTGGTTTAACCTGCTTTGAGTGGGAGGCTGGACCAAATGATTTTCTAAGGTCATTCTCAACCTGAATTATGGCATGATCCTGTCATTCAAAACTGGCAAGTGCCTTTTAAAAATAAAGTTGTCTTTTATGACTATTCTGTTTAAAGCAGAAGCAAAGCTCTCACTGTAAGTCTCAATGAGACACTCCAGACACCAAATATTAAATCAATAAATGAAACCCTGAATAAAATGGCTCTGAGAGTGTCTACAGCAATAATTAATGAAATCTCCCAATGTAGACTTTGGTGAAAAATGAGAAACTCACCCAGCCACCATTCGCATCAATCCATTCGGCTTTGTTGTTTATGATGTACTCTGTGATGAAATAAGAGATCTGCTCCTTCTCCTCCGCAGTCAGCTGAACCCCATGCTCTTGAAGCTTCTTGGTGAGGACACCTCCAAATGTAAATATGGTCATAATTCGCCCCCAGTTAGTATTTCCATCAGCAAACTTTTCATCCATGACTCCATTGAAAATTCTCTTGGCAGCAGCTACAGAGGTGATGTCAATCCTGTCCAGGAGTGGCCTGAGAGCCTCCTCGGTTTGTTCTTGCAGCGAGGACGCCATGGTTCTCAGGACATGAGCAACCCTGGTCTGGGCTGGTCCCAGGTGTGATTCCTGGAGCACATACTGCAGGTAGTCCTGAGCCAAGTAATAAACATAGTAGAACTCAGCAGTTTCCATTCAATCCAGAGTGCAGAGAGCAGCTCACTGCTGGCAGTCAGGCTCGGCACTGAGCAGCCACAGGACATGCACACGCTTTTGTTCCGTCGGTTTTGATGGAATCTCTCTGGTTTTACCACAGAATTTCCTGTGAAAGGTAGTGACTTAATGGCTGCGTCGGGGAATATGTCATAGGGGAAATGAAAGAAAAAGTATCTCCTTTTATGTCTTGAGTGATTTATTTCTCCAAATGGTGTGATTCCGCTACTAAAATCGACCAGATTTTACCACATTCTTAGCAGCATAACTTGGCATTTTCTAGGGACTTTTGCTACATACCACTAGCAAAGGTTTGGCATTTGGCTTGCAAAATTCCAAGAATGGTGTGTGCTAGCAAAGGTTTGGCATTTGGCATGAAAAAACATGCCCATGACATACATGCCATGTATGTCTGCATCTCCAGCACCATGCATGCTGCTGGAGATGCAGACATACAACACCCCCAGTCCAATCTCCTTTCTGCCAGGGTTAAGGCTGCAATCTGTATTGCAGGTTTATGGATTATTTCTGGTCACAACATTGTGAAGAAACTGATATGTATTCCCAACAGGATGGAAGAATGCATAAACTTTCTTCAGCACTCAGGGAGTTTTACAGAAGTGCAAAAAGTGGGAGCACAACAGTGGTACAATTATGGTGTGGTACAAGGGGAAAGTCAGCTTTATAGCATTATCTCTGTTCCAGACTTTCCCACACTCTCTCTGAGTGCTCTTCAAGGTCCTTCTTTGAAGATTTGAATGGAAAGCTTCAAAGATTTCTTTCCCCCATGGGGAGCTGTGCTGTATAAGATGTTATAAGTATGAAAGACAATGCTAATGCAGGCAGCATGTCAGAACATGGGATGGAGAATAGGGGGCCAGTGATGTGTGATAGCACCTGAATCTTTCAGGACAGGTAAAAAAGAAGTATCATGATACCTACAACTGCTCTTAGATTCAAATTTTCTGTCAAGCTGTTATTTTTGGGAGAAGAGGGAGGGGTATCTAGCCAGCTTTTTCCTTACAAACATCTTGTCCTGAGGCAATCTGATCTTGCTAAAGGGCCAGGATGTGTCCATGGAGAATTTCACCCCATTGCAAAGGCTTCAAAGAGCAGCAAGCAGTTTGATGTCTGGAGACCCCTCTCTTTCTCCATCTTTCTTTATCCCTCTACTTCTTACCCACCTTTCTTTCACTGCTCTTCTTCCTTTGGAAGCAAAAGGCACTCCCAGCACCCCACACCAACCCCTTTCCTTTGTCCCAGGCGTGGCTGTGAGCCTGTTTCCAGTCCTGGGCACTCCCTGATGCTCAGACTTACGGAAGAGGAGCAGAGCTTCAGTCTCAGATGTCAGGATAGCACTGGCACCTAACTGCACTGGGGAAAGCCTGTCTGGAGTGTGAAACAGCTCTGGTGTCACACACTGCTAACCCTAGCCAGCCCCCCAAATTGCGTGTGCAGCTGCTCTGACATCACAGTTTTTGCAGAAACCCATTGACTAGACCAGGGTAGTTTCCACTTCCTGCTGAGGTTATTTCTGTCCGTGGTGAGTCTGGCCAAGAGTGACACAGTCATCTTCCATCAGAGCAGGGCTTGAAACCTCGAGCTGGAGCCAGCACAGCATTCAGCAATTCAGGATTATTTCCCTCATTTTCTCTTGGAAGCAAAGAGAGAGGGGTTGGTGTTGTGTTCACTTTTGGGAGAGAATGTGTTTCAGAGGGCAGTGCAAGCTGGAAAACTCCAGTGTTAGATGTTACCCCCAGGGAAGGATGTGATGTCAGGACTGGGAATGAGCTGGGTGTGGGAAACTGGATCTCCCCTCTTTCATACACTCATGTTCTTAGCAAAGCTCATTTTGAAAGTTCAGACGTATTTCCTATCCAGTACCTGCAGCTGTTGCTTTGGCAGAGCTGTCAGGCTGACTTTGCCTTTGTTATGTTCAGTGATTTCAGCAAAATGCTATCATTTTATGAGGAATGCAAATGGGAAAAAGAAAGGATGTAACAGTCGCTAACTCTTTCCAACTGGACAGGAATTTCTGGTGCAGAGGGAAGTCATTGCTCACCAGCCAGCTCCCCTCCTGTCAGATGCTTGCTGCAAACAGGGCTGAGAGAGGTACTAGAGCAGACATCACAAGAATACTCTGCCTATATAGCACAGTCTGTGAAATTATAGATCACTCCTGAATTTCTTAGTAACTGATTAATGAAAAGTTTTTGGTATTCTCTGAGAATATAATAGTTGAATATGAGGACAGTGAACAATACCTATGGAGACCAGTTTTGTTTTCTTCTGACAGTAGCAGAGTACAAAAGAAATCAATGTCATACCTTGACAATTTCAGTGCAAATGCTGCTACTTACAGTCTCTTGATTTCTTAAAGGGCTCTGAGGTGAAGCTGAGGGCTCAGCTCCCAGAATGGGTGGCAGCTCTGAGCAGAGATCTCCAACAGCCAGCTGTGACACTGGTGACCAGAGCTCAGGATGGAGCTGTTGAAAATGCCCCAGGTCTCTCTCCTTCCAAGTTTTCAATAGTGGGCAGTGCAGGGTGCAGTTCCAAGTGTTGGATGTTCAGTAGCAGTGCCAGTTTGTGGATCTGCACGCACAAGTTGATAATGGTCAACTCTGAACACTCTAAGAAATCAGATTTGGGATCTCTTGCATCATGCCACTCTAATGCTTTGATTCTCATTTTCTACAATGTCTTGCTTGCTTCTAGCAGACTTTTATTCTCATTTTGTAGTTGTAAGTGAATACCTCTGTATTAATGAAACTCTACTTTGTTTCCTACCTGCTCTGTCTCCCCAGTGCTGCATAGACTGCATTCTCATACAGTACAGCACTTTCCCTTTGTTTTCCTCTTTGCTGGATATACTTTAAGTGTTAATTTTTAATAAAAGGCTTGAAACAGAAACCAGCTTGACAGGGAAGCTCAAATGCAAACTCTCCCCTCACTACTTGGCAACTGGAAGAGGCTTCAGATACTTGGATTTAAACCTGTGCCCTGTGGATTTGAATGCACATCCCACTCTAACCTGAAAAGGTTTATTTTCCCAGAACAGATGGGGACTGAGCTGACAGATCCTCATAAAACTGACTTGTGATAGACGATGTTATCTCATCACATTCGAGACAAAACCAAGCCAAATAACAAAAGCTTTGCTGAGCTATCCATGCTGCATCTGCCGTGCCAGAGTTCCAGGTGATTGTGGGAACTGTGATTTTTTTTTGTCTGGAAGAACAGTCCAAAGCCTTAAGAAAATGATTGAAGATCTTTATTCCCCCTCCTTTTCTTCTCTTTTTGAAGTCCGCACTGGGGTGGGGTTTTTGGGGGGTTTGTTTGTTTGTTTGTTTGTTTTCAGGTTTTTTGTTTGTTTGTTTGTTTGTTTTCAGTTTTTTGTTTGGTTTGGGGTTTATTTTTTTTAGTTTTTTTGGTTTTTTTTTTTTTGTTTGGTTTGGGTTGGGGTTTTTTTGTTTTGTTTTGGGTTTTTTGGTTTTTTTTGTTTGGGGGATTTTTTGTTTGTTTTGGGAGGTTTTTTGGTTTTTGTTTTTCTTTGGGTTTCTTTTTTTAGTTTTTATTTGGGTTTTTTTGTTTGGTTTGGGTTGGGGTTTTTTTGTTTTGTTTTGTTTTGTGGGTTTTTTGGCTTTTTTTTGTTTTGGGGTTTTTTGTTTGTTTGTTTGGGGGTTTTTTGTTTTGTTTAGGTTTGGTTTGGGTTTTTTGGGTTTTTTTGGGTTTTTTTTTAATTTTTGGTTTGGTTTGGGGTTTTTTTGTTGTTTTGGTTTGTTTGGTTTTTTTTTGTTTTGGGGTTTTTTTTGTTTTGTTTTTGTTGGGGGTTTTTTTGTTGTTGTTTTTTGGGGGGGTTGGGTGTTTTGGGGTTTTTTTGTTTGTTTTAGGGGGTTTTTTGTGGTTTGTTTGTTTGTTTGTTTTGTTGCTTTGTTTTGGGGTTTTTGGGGGGTTTTTTGGGGTTTTTTTGTTTGGTTTTTTGTTTGGGTTTTTTTTTTGTTTTGTTTTGTTTTTTTTTTTTTTTTGTTTTTTTGTTTTTTTTGTTTTTTTGCGTGGTATTGCATTTCATTGCAAAAGAACACCTCGGTTCACTTGTAGCTTTGCAGCTGCCCTGCACATCCCTGCTGGGAGCCCCGGGCCGGTTCTATAACCTTTACTCGCCAGGGATGCAGGGATGCTGCTGCTCTCGGGCTGCTGCGGGGCCCTTGCCCAGTGGAGTGCTGACACCTAGTGCCGCAGCCGGCCGCGCTGCAGCGCCGCTGCACAGCCCGGGTTTGGGTTCCCTCTGCCGCACATCCCTGGTTTGGGTTCCCTCTGCCGCACATCCCTGGTTTGGTTCCCTCTGCAGCACATCCCTGGTTTGGTTCCCTCTGCAGCACATCCCGGGTTTGGGTTCCCTGTGCTGCACATCCCTGGTTTGGGTTCCCTGTGCTGCACATCCCTGGTTTGGGTTCCCTGTGCTGCACATCCCTGGTTTGGGTTCTCTCTGCAGCACATCCCGGGTTTGGGTTCTCTCTGCAGCACATCCCGGGTTTGGGTTCCCTCTGCAGCACATCCCTGGTTTGGTTCCCTCTGCAGCACATCCCTGGTTTGGGTTCCCTCTGCAGCACATCCCTGGTTTGGGTTCCCTGTGCTGCACATCCCTGGTTTGGGTTCCCTGTGCTGCACATCCCGGGTTTGGGTTCCCTGTGCTGCACATCCCTGGTTTGGGTTCTCTCTGCAGCACATCCCGGGTTTGGTTTCCCTCTGCAGCAAACATCCGAATCCCGCGAGACCAGGATGCAGTCGGCCCATGAGCCGTGTTAATAAGTGATGTTGTGTTTCCCGAAGCCCTGGGGGTTCCTGCATCCCTGCAGGGATTCTCTCTCTCGGCTCCAGGACATCACTGCAGTGCTGTGTCCATCTCTGGGGTCCCCAGCCCAGGAAGGACATGGACATCTTGGATCAGGTCCAGAGGAGACCTCTAAGTTGATTAAATGGAT